AATCCGTCTCGGCTCCGTTCGCCGCTTTGTCCGTCTGACAGGATGCCTCCGGCCCCACTATGCGTCCGGCGTCTCCGCCACCCCCCCGGTCTCCTGCTCCGTTCGCCCGCGCCGCCCCGTATCCGTTTGTCGTCCAAGCCGTCCGGCCGTCCTCACCCCACGGTCCCTCCCTCTCCCTCGCTCGAACTCCCATTTAACTTCGTACTACATGATCGGGTCGTAGCGCCAGTAGCTCGGGAAATCCCGCGCCATCGTTTCTTCTCGCTCTCTTCTCGCTCCACCTCCTCGTGAACGCGCTCTGCGTGGGTCACCCCAGCAGTGCCCGAGCTCGTTGGACGACGTTTGTAAGACTGTCTCTGTGGCCCACCCAAGTCCACGACAGGCGAGCACGACCGATGGACTTTCGTGTCCGTGCAGTCAGCCCGCGTTGCCCGCATAGAACGCTTGGATATGTTGTCGTTATCTGTCAGCATTCCGCGGTCTCCAGGTTGCTGCGGCTGAGCGACGGACCTGCCACTCCGCTGGCGAGATGACCTCCCCGCTACCTCCCCGTCGGATGTCCGCGTCGTCGGAATGCTCGCCCATCGTCCGGGCCGCCTGGGCGCTCTGCCGCACCGCACCTCGCGATGTCATCGAACCCGGCGGGGCCTCGTCACCACGCACGATCCACCAGCGTCATCGACCGACTCGTGCCGCCCTGCTGGCCAGATCCCGCGATGCCATGAATGCGTGCCGTTCCGCTGACTGGTACGCGCGCGGGGCCGCCGCCAGCGCGCCCGCAGAAGACGCACGAGCACGACGGGCCGCATGCACGCGCCACCGGCCCGGCGGGCGTGCGCTTCCGCACGAGCGCAGGTTGTGAGGGGCTCTTCTCATGGCGTCGCTCCAACAACGGCGCGGGAGGGCGGCACCGAACGAAGGCCCGAGCCCGTTCTCCCAACTCCCCGTCGGCGGCGCTCTGTCACATCCTTCTTGGGGTCCAAAGTATGCCACCCGCCCCGGCCTTCGGTGCGAACCCAAGCAACCCGCAACGTGACCACCGTCCGGTTGTGGAGGGACGGAGACGCCGACCTCCGGCCAGTTCTCCGGTGCCGGCAACCGCCCCGCGCGCGCGCATCGAACGGCACGACACCTACAACAGCGCGGGATGGCTCCCGTCTCGGCGTATCCCCAGGAGGCACGATGACGCGCAGGCACGGGAACGCCGGACCTTCTACCTTTTTGTCAAGGGTGAAGGAGGGCTGCGGGCGGGTGCTCGGTAGCCGGTGGAAAGTGCCGTCCCGGGGAAATCGGGATGGGAGGTGGGTTTGGGCTTCGGGGGCCGGCGGGGCGGGAAGCGATTTCCCCAGGACTTGGAAAACGCGGCACCACGGCGGCGGTTGTTCGCCGGCCGCGGCGGAGAGGGGCGCGTTTCCCACACTTCCCGCCGGCTCACTCACTTTGAAGATCCTTTTTTCTTTGGAGGAGTTGCTCAGGCGGCGAGCTTGTCTCGGGAGAGCTTCGGGTCGTAGAGGGTGCCGTTTTTGAGCATGGCGCAGGCGACGGCGAGGAGCCGGTCGCCGACGGTGCGGAGGGCGCGTCCGTGGGAGTGGCCGCGGGCGCGGAGGGCGCGGTAGCGGGCTTTGCTGAGGGGATCGTGGACGGCGGCGACGCGAGCCCAGTGGTAGAGAGCGTTGCGGAGTTCGTGCTGGACGGCGAGGCGGCGGATCTCCCAGCGGGTGTTGGCGGACTGGATGCTGACACGTCGACTCCGAGGCGGGTGGCGCGGAGGGCGGGGTAGTCGCGGCGTTGGAGGAGGTCGAAGGCTTCGGCGAACAAGGTGCTGAGGACGTAGCCCCCGACACCGGGGAGGGAGCGGAAGAGGGTCATGTCGTCGGGTCGTTCGTCGTCGGGGTGGGCCTGGGAGAAGGCCTTCAGCAGTTCACGGACGTCTTGACGTGCCTGGGCGAGGAGTTGGTTGGTGGTGTGTGCCTGGGCGAAGAGGCTTTGGAGGGCGCGGCAGGCGGCTCCGGGGGCGACGGTGAGCGCGGGGGCGTGCAGGATCTCCCACAGGCCTTTGGCGTTCAGTCGCCGGATGCCGTGCTTTTTGAGGAGTTTGGCGAGGGTGGAGACGCGCAGCTTGAGGGCGAGTGCGGGGGTTTTGGCCTTGTTCCAGAGCTCTCGGAACCAGGGGTGGGTGAGTTGATTGAGGAGGTCGGGGATGGCGAGCAGTTGGGGGTAGTAGCGCCAGAGCTGCTGGCGGATCTGGTGGCAGAGCCGGGTGCGCTGGCAGGTGAGTTCGTTGATGGTCCGGGTGCGTTCGCGCAGTTGGAGGACGAGAGGCTTCTCGAGTTCGACCCGTCGGAAGAGGTCGGGGTCGGCGCGGAGGGCGCGAGCGAGCATCCAGGCATCGCGGGGGTCGTCCTTCGCCCCGGAGGAGACGTAGCGGCGCCGGGAGCCGGGGATCTGGGCGGGACCGATGGCGAACACCGCAAAGCCGGCGACCAGCAAGCCCTCGACGACCGGCCCGTGGGGCGTCTCGATGGCGACCGCGAGCTGCCCGGGGGCGGCCCCGGTCTCGTCCAGGAGCCAGCGGACGAGCTCCGCCTGGCCCGCGCCGCCGTGGGGAAAGGCCCGGCTGCCGCGAACCGAACCGTTCGCCTCCAGCAGGCATACATGGTGGGTCGTCGAGCCCCAATCGATACCGACGAAAAACAGAAAAGGAGATGTCATGGCGCTGTTGTCCTTCCGAGGGAAGCCCCTCAAGGGGAAGTCAGCCGCCGTGATGTTCGCTGGGGCCTATACTGGCTGCTCGATGGCGCTGCCCTTCTACCGTGCGTTCCATCACGGCCAAGACCCGTCGAGGCACAGTCCGGCGTAGGTGTTCGAAACACGTGCCTCCGGTTGGTTGCTCCCGGCGGGTCGGCTAACACGTTGGTGAAGTAGGGCCCTTCGGTGCCTCTCACACCGGAGGGCCCAGAAAACGAAGTCCGAAGGGTATAGACCTCCGGTCGGCGTTCAGGGTCGAGCGGTCCCCGGACGGGGCCTTGATCTGGAATAGCTTTCGGTCGTAGTTCTGCTTGGAGTTGGGGCCCCGTCCGGGGACCGCCCGGCGCTTCGCGCCGGCAATCGAAACTCCCTTGCGCGCCTGCGGCGCGCGGCGGCGAGTTCCGATTGGTCATTGTTGATTTGTGACAGGGGGGCGGTGGCCCCCCTTTCACACTTTCCCCCCGGTCACGCGGGCAGCGAACCGAAGGTTCGCCACCATTGTTTTTTGCGCGCTCGGCCAAGCGCCGCCCACACCAGGTGGCGTACAGCATGGAGCGCCGGCCAGTTCTCCCGGTGGGGGCCTCCGACCGGCATCGCGCGGGAGCGCGAAACCAGCGCCGACGACGCTGCGCCGTACCGACGTGAGTGGCGCGCCCCCTGCTCAATCAGGACTGCGCTGTTCGCTGCGCTGCGCGCAGCGGTGCCGGCCGGAGGTCGGCGTTCCCTGGCCTCCCGGATCATCCCGCCAGTTGGCAGTACGTGGTTCGCCCGCCTCCGGCGGGCGGTGCCGACCGGAGGTCGGCGTTCCCTTGCCTCCCGGACCACCACCCCGGTTGGCTCTACGCAGTTCGCCCCGCTCTGCAGAGCGGCGTTCCCCGGCCTGCGCGCCACCTTGTGCGGAGACGCGCCGCTCGCGGGACCGCGGGACCGAAGGCCTCCCCAGCGTTAGCGGAACACCTCGAACTCGAGCGAGTAGGGAGGAGGGTTGATGCAACGGCCCTGGAGCCACGCGTGAGGGACGCCCCACGGCTTCAGGGACACGGAAAAGTGCACCGAGACATACGAGTTGTTCCGCGGACCTCCCGGCGCGTCGCCGTCAGCCGCGCCACGCGCGTCTCGGTGCGCTGCGTTCCCGCCGGGAGCACCATCTCCGCCGGCGCGATCCGGATGTCCGCTTGCTCAAGCTGCTCTGGGGGGAACCTCCAGCTCCAGAACCACCCCGGTGTCCTCGGCAGCGGCCGAAAGATCCGGAACGTCAGCGGGATCTCCACTGTCTCGCCCACCCGGAACTGGACCCGGCGGCCGAACCGCGACGGCACCGTGATCGCCAGCTCCAGCTTCGAGGGCATCAGGGGCGGAACCTCGCTCACATCGTCGTAGATCCCGCACCCGGTGGTCGTACACGCCAGCACCTCCCCCGCTCCCTCCCCCTCCGGACAAAGCTGCACCACGGTCGGCTCGTGCGCCTGGTGCCATGCCGGCAGGTAGACTGCCAAGCCGTAAAACGTGCGCCAGAACGGATCCATCTGCAGCGTGAACTCGTGCCGCACCCGTTCCCCCCTGCGCCGCCACCCGCCAGTTCCGCAGCGGGCGCGCCTGCAACATGTCCAGCAGCATCGCGTCCCCCGGTGAGCCCTCCACCACGAAGTCGACCTGATACGTCTCCGAACACGTGAGGGCGTTCTCCACGTCCACCCGCCGCGGCGCGCTTACGCGGATCGTCGAGTCCTCGCACTGCGACACCACCGGATAGGGCCCGCGCGGCGGGTGCTCCGGCAGCGGTTCCGGCGGCGGCAGCGCAGGTGCGGGGACGGAGGGCGGGGGGTCTTCGCAGGCGGGGGCCGACGCCAGCAGCCCGACCAGCAGCGATCCCGCCGGGAGGCGAAACCAGCGGCCCGCCACGCTCACCGGAACGGGTCTCCCCGCCGCCGCACCGTCAGCGACAGCAGACGGAACTCGCCCGCACGCACCCGCACCGGCGCCGCCCGCAGCGCCTGCCGCAGGTCCAGCGCCACGTCGGGATCCTGCGACCCGCTGTCGATCGGCATCGCGGGACGAAGCAGTTGCTGGTTCCCCCGCGCGCTGGGGGAGCGGACCAGCAACTGGTAGTCCCCCGGGGCGAGACCCCCCGATCTCGAAGTATCCCGTCGGTTCGGCGAACACCCCCACGCTGTAGGACGCCTCCTCCGGCTCCAGCAGGCGCGTGGCAAGTACGTAGGCGGCGTTCGCCGGCGTGCCGTCGGGCAGGGTGACCCGGCCCACGATGCGTCCCGTCGTCTCCAACCACCCCGGCGCTGGCCTCAGCAGCGACGCCCCGATCATGTCGTCCGCCGTCAGGACATCCTCAGGCGAACTCCCCAACACGCCGTACGACATGACCGGGTCGTAGCGCCAGTAGCTCGGGAAATCCGGCGCCATCCGTCCGTACTCGAGCCACTCCTCGCTGAGCAGCTCCGCGTGCGCCAACCCCAGGCAGTGCCCGAGCTCGTGGACGGCGGTTACAAAGAACTGGTCTCTGTGGCCAATGAAATTCACATGACAGGCGAGCACGACCGATGGACTTCCGGGTGTCGTCGTCGAGTCCGCGGTGCCCGAATAGAACGCTGTGATGTTGGTCGTTATCGACAGCATTCCGCGGTCCGCCGGGTTGCTGCTGCTGCGACGGACCGACCACTCCGCTGGCGAGATGACCTCCCCGACCTCCCAGCGAATGTCCGCGGTCGGAATGCTCGCCCAGACGTCCAGGGCCGCCTGGGCGATCTGCCGCACCTCTGCGATGTCGTCGAACCCGGCGGGGCCCTCGTACCACGCCGGGGAATCCACCAGCGTCACCGACAGCGTGCCGCCCGGCGGCCAGATCCCGCGATCCCATGAACGCTTGCCGGTTCCGCTGAACTGGTACGCCCCCGCCGGGGCCGCCGCCAGCGCGCCCAGCACGAGCACGAGGGCCGGCAGCACGCGCCACCGCCCCGGCGGGCGTGCGCTTCCGCACGAGCACAGGTTGTGAGGGGTTCTTCTCATGGCGCTACTCCAGGAACGACGCGGGTGGGCGCGGCCGCGCGAAGGCCCCGGCAGGTTGCCCGAACTCCCGCTCGGCGACGCTCCGTTACATCCTTCCGGGGTCCGCAGTATGCCACCCGCCCCAGCGCCCCACCGCGCCGCCAGGTGACTCACACAACGTGACCACCGTCCTGTTGCGGAGGGACAGGGTGTTGTCTTTTGGGACCGCCAGCACGGACCCGCGCCGCACCCCCAAGAACGCCGGGGGGCGCCGCGGGGCGGGCCTCGGCGCGGCCGGAACGGAGCCTCCCGGAGCGGCGCGGAACGCCGAATCAGGCGGAGACCCGCCGCTCGCGGGACCGCGGGGCCGAAGGCCTCCCCAGTACTAGCGAAACACCTCGAACGCGAGCGAGTAGGGAGGAGGGTTGATGCAACGGCCTTGAGTCCACGCCCGCGGGACGCCCCAAGGCCTCAGGGACACGGAAAACTGCCCCGAGCCAAACGAGTTGTTCCGCGGGACCTCCCGGCGCGTCGCCGTCAGCCGCGCCACCCGCGTATGGGTGCGCCGCGTTCCCGCGGGGAGCACCATCTCCGCCGGCGCGATCCGGATGTCCACCTGCTTGAGGTTCTCTGACGGCCTGCAGGGACGAAACCCCCGGCGGCTTGCCCAGTTTCCCGGCCAATGGCGTTCCATCACGAACTTTCGGAGCACAGTATGCCACCGCCGAACCAAGCGCCCCACCAAACCCAATGCGCCACCCGAGGCCGCTGTTGGTAGCGGCCGGTTTGTCGCCTTGATGCGCAAGGCCCGATGGTTTCCGGGCCTCCAGACAAGGAAGAAGGGCGCACTCGCCGAGGACCCGGCGCCCCTGATCCCGGACGGGCCCACCGGGAACCTCGATGACGCCGCCAGTCAGGAGCGCTGGCCAGTCCTCCCGGTGGGGGCCTGGAGACCGGCGCTCCTTGCGATCCGAGCCCATGGCGTCTCTTTCACGACAACTGCCCGGCGGTGCCGGCTCGGCTTCCGCGGCCGGTACCATTGGGCTTCCCCTTCGCGGGAGAGATTGCCTGCCATGAAACGGAACCCCCTGCCCCCTCGCCTCGGAGGGGTGTTGTCCGCGCTGCTGATCGCCTTCCCGATCGCCTTCCCGATTGCCTTCCCGGCCGGGGCTGCCGCCGGTCAGACGAGCGCCGAGCGGAGCTACTTCGTCTACATCGCCGCCGAATCCGACGACACCGTGGATCTGGTCCGCTTCGGCCCCGACGGGGGTGAACTCGTCCGCCGCATCCCGGTGGGCATCCTGCCGACCGAGATCGAGGGGCCCCACGGCGTGCGGGTGTCCCCCGACGGCCGGCACTGGTACGTCTCCATCGCCCACGGCATGCCCTACGGCAGCGTCCACAAGTTCGAGACCGGCACCGACCTCGAAGTCGCCGACACCACCGCCGGCCTCTTCCCGGCCACCATGGACATCTCTCCGGCGACCGGCTTCCTCTTCGTCGTGAACTTCAACCTTCACGGGGACCACGTCCCGTCGAGCGTCTCGGTGATCGACACCGTTTCCATGACCGAGATCGCGCAGATCGAACAGGGGGTGATGCCCCACGGATCGCGGCTCGGGACCGACGGAATGCTGGCCTACTCGGTCGCCATGATGAGCGCCGAGCTGTTCGAGATGGACACCATGACGCTCCGCCCCAGTCGGCGGCTGCGCCTGACCGGCGACAACGAGACCACGGTGGCGGTGATGGAGAACGATCCGCACGCGGGACACGACATGAGCGGGCGGGATGGAGGGCGGGATGGGCGCCGGGATGAGCGCCGGTCCCGGCGCGAGCCCCACCTGGGTCCAGCCCGCCCCGGACGGCAAACACGCCTACGTGGCGCTCCAGGGATTGGACCAGGTGCTCGAGGTGGATCTGGAAGCCTGGGCGCCCAAGCGCCGCTTCCACACCCGGAAGGG